CCACCTCGCTCTTCTTCCCACTGAGGCTACAAGTAGCTAATTAATTTGATCTTTCCTATAACCCCCAGTCTCTAATGCAGAGCTGCCATTTCCGAAATTTCTGAAGAGAGTCTTCCTTTTTAGAGGGAAAGGCTGGATAACCCAATGTGTCAGGTCTGACCTATGCAAATATATTTGAAATTTAAGGGAATATTTTGTTCACTTCTTCTACTGCTGGATTCATTTGCCCCATTTGTGTTTCTTTTTTTTTTTAATTTAGTATTTTATTTTTCCCCAATTACATATAAAAACAATTTTCAACATTCTTTTTAAAAACTGAGTTCCAAATTCTCTCGCTTCTTACCCACTTCCCTCATTGAGAAGGCAAGCAATTTGATATAGGTTATATCACAGGTGAGGAACTTGTGGCCTTGAGCCACCAATGACGATCTAGGTCCTCAAGTGTGGCCCTTTGACTGAATCCAACCATGTGTTTCTTGAAAGACAACTTGGCAAGATGTGATCAGTGCTATAAAAGGGGTATTGGACAACGTCCTGAGGGACTTCAGAGGAGGAAGAGGTCACTTTGGGCAGGGATTGGTCATAAGAAGTTGTAATGTCCAAATAAGAGGCAACGTAGTGTCAGAGATGGCTTCTGACATTCTTCCAGATCTCATTCTATAATCCCTGGAGACAATAGATGTGAAAGGGCTCCTTGAAAAATATAAAAGTTTACTACTGAACCCAAGCAGCTGTAGTTATGTCAGTTATTTGAAAAGCTGGAAAACTGAGAGAAATCAGTTGTTTTTAGTGCTTGGTCTCAAATGCACCAAGAACACTGACTCAGAGCCCTATAAAAGCCAGGAGAAAAGAAGCAATTTTTTCCCCCCAAAATACAAATCACCTAAAGTGGTTGTTGGTTTTTGAATTTTACCACTTGAAGTCATAATTATATAAAATGTGGTAATTAGTTCTAGTCCAATGAAAATATGCAGTACAAATTTGAATAATGCAACCACTTCACATGGAATATTTGTACTTATTGGATCCATACTTGTACCTATATCCCAGGCTGGACCACTAGGTTTTCTTATGTTCCTATTTTACTGAGATGACAGCAATCCTATGTGCTTTCACATCTGTGATATCATTTTTTAATGGAATAAATTTATATGAGAGATAAATTGGTCTCAATGTGCCCACTGAATATATTGAGAAACTGAGGCTTGGGGCCTCCTGACCAGTGGCTTAGATGGAAACCTTGTCATGCTAGATCTCCAGTTCTGTCATGATCTAGCCATCAGACCATACTGCCACCTTGTGTGTAGATAGCAGCTCATCCTTGGAATTAACCTCTTGGCATTCAAGGCTTTCCTCAATTTTACCCCAACCTACCTTTCAAAATATAATTGACCACTATATTTCTATGAAATTTTTTGCTTCCATCAAATTGGCCTACTCTTTGTGCCTAATCCACCATATATGTCCTCACACTTTCATTGAATGCTCTTCTTCATTCTTTGTATTTATCCAAGTCCTACTTCTTTAAAGTCTAATTAAACTTTAACTCTTTCGTGGAGCTTTCCCTTACTGCTCTCTCTTTCTTTTGAGGCAATGATGGGGAGGGAGTGACTTGCCCATGATAGTAGCTACACAGCTAGTAAGTGTCTGAGGTTGGATTTGAACTCAGGTCCTCCTGACTCTAGGGCCAGTGCTCTATCTACTGTGCCACCTAGCTGCCCCAATGATCTTTTCTTCTTAAGAATTTCTGCAGCACTTTTTGTTTGAACAATATTAGATCCTGTTATTTTGTATTGAATGTTTTTTTTTAATGTATTTCCTCTGCCTTTCCTAATAAGCCTCCCTGAGGCCAGGAACTATGTGTTATACCAAGACAGAGCACTAGTTCTAGGCCATAGGTTCCACATGGAAGGCACCATCTATCTCTTCTTCTCTGCCTCTCAAATTCCTCATCATCTGTCCATGCTCCCCTTACCTGAGCTTTGGTGCCTCTTCCCAATCAAAGCTTCCTCTGATTCCCTTGCTATTAGTGATCTCTTCCTTCTCAAATGACCTCACATCATACTTAACTGTGTCAATGCAGCTATGTGACACAGTAAATAAAGCAATGGACTTGGAAACAGAAAGAACTGGGTTCAAATCCTACCTGAGACACTGGTGAGTCACTTAACCTTTCGTAGCCTCAGTTTCTTTATCTATCAAATAGGGATAATAATAGCCCCTACCTCCTAGGATTGTTGATTAAATGAGATAACATATGGAAAGTACTTTGTAAACCTTAAAACACTCTACAGGGTGTCAGTTGTGAGAATGGAAGTCAAGAGAAAGGTTAGGGATGGATAAATAGAACTTAGAATCATCAGCAGAGACATGATCATTGAACCCAGGGCAGCTGATAATCACCAAGTGAAATAGTACAGAGGGAGAAGAGGGCTCAGGACAGAGCCTCAGGGCACCCACAGTTAGCAGGTATGACCAGGATGAAGATTCAGCAAAGGAGGCTGAAAAGGAATGATCGGACAGGTAGGAGGAGAGCCAGGAGAGAACAGTGTCACAAAAAATGTAGAGAGAAGAAAGAATCAAAGTGAACAACAATTGAGAAATCAAATTGACAGTGTCAGAGGCTGCAGAGAGATCAAGAAGGATAAGGACTGAGAAAAGAGTATTAGATTGCCAATTAAGAGATCATTGGTAACTTTGTAAGGTGTTGTTTTAGCTGAATGATAAGGTCAGAAGCTAGACTGCAGAGAATTAAGACAAGAGTGAGAGGAAGGGAAATGGAGGTACCTCTTGTAGATGGCCCTCTCAAGTTTGGCCATGAAAGGGAGGAGAGATATATAAGATGAGAGCTAGCAGAGATAGATGGATCAAGGCAGGGTTTTTTGAGGATTAGGGAGACATGGACATGTTTATAGGCAGGAGGGAAGCAGCCATTAGGGAGACATTGAAGATTAGTGAATGTAGAGATGCCAATGGGAGTAATCTGCTAGAGAAGATGGGATGGAATGGAATCACTTATGAATACAGAAGACTTTACCTTGGCAAGGAGAAGGACCACATCTGCCTGTGAGACAAAGGTGTAGGAGAAGATAGTGGCAGACAGCATCTGGCTGATGTTAGCTGAGAAGAAAAGGAGAACAGGGAGCTATCAGTGAATGGCCTCAATTTTGGGGGGATAAAATATGAGGCAAAGTTCTTTGCTGAGGGGGTGAAGGGAGTGGAAGCCATGGGACATTTGAGGAGGGATGAAAAGGTTTAGAAAAGCTTCTGTGCTGAGTGAAATAATAACAATAGCTAGCACTTATACAACATTGTTAGGAATGTAAAATATTACACCTCTGTTTTCTTATTTGATCCTCGCAACAACCCTGTAAGATAAGTGCTTTTATTATCCCCATTTTATAGATGAGGAAAGTGAGGCTTAGAGGTAAAGTGACTCAGGGCGACACAGCTGCTGACTAAAGCGGAATCTGAACACTGATCTTCCTGACTCTAAGTCCAATGCTCTATCCTCTATGCCACCTAGCTGCCTATTAGCCCACCTGTATACATGTATACACACATATACACAGAGATTGATTTGATGGTCGTATATAGACATAGCCTTAGCTGCAAATTTTCCAGATAAACTTTATTTGAAAGTGCAGTTGTCGATGATGCCTCCCTGTTCTCTCAGGTGTGAAATGAGATGGATTCATTTATAATTCATTTGCCTGACGGGCCATGTCGGGAAGATGGATGGTGTTTTTAGAAAACATGAGTGTGATTGTTACAGAGGCTAGAAGAGAACACCAATGATGCCCATTGTATGACTGGGGCTCTGTAGCCTTTCTGACATCCTATCTTTTCTGTCTCATTGTATGCCATAGTCTTTGGGAAAGTTTCTCTGTCTGTCTGTCTCTCTGTGTCCCTCTCTGTCTCTCTCTCTCTGTAATTCAAGTTCTATTCTATGATAACAGAAAAGTCTAAGGCATCTAAATAATGAGAACTCCTTTCTGTAATCTGGAAGGTTGGTATGCTTTCAAAGAGACCCTGTTTGGGTGTTTGTTTGTTTTTTAATATGAAACAAGGGCAGAAGTTTGTGCTACTGAAAATTCTTTTTTCCCCATTTTATTTTAAAAAATCTGAACTTAAACGCTAAATGAAATGAACATTTCCATATACAGTATAGAATAGAATAAGAGGATTGTATATGAAGCTGCTAATCTCTAGTAATTTAGAGTTTACTTTCTTCTTAAGCGTATATAATAAATTCAACATATAGCTTTCAAAGCTGTCCTGCTTTTCTGTGATTCCTTCTGGTATCTTCTTTTTTGGGGAAGAGGAAAAGAAATAAGCATTTGTATAGTCCCTATTATATGTTGGGCATTATGCAGAGTGCTTTACAAGTATTATCTCATTTGATCCTAGTAACAATTTTGTGAGGTAGGTTCTGTTGTTATCCTCATTTTATAGTTGAGGAAACAGACTATCAGAAGTTAAGTGACTTGCCCAGGGCCACACAGTAAGTGCCTGAGGCTGGATTTGAGCACCCATTTTCCTGACTCTAGGCCCAGTGCTCTGCATGTGTTCTTTCATGAAAAAAAACAAACTTAGAGCACTGCTTCATCCCACTTGTCTCTCTTTACCCTTCCCATCTACTGGAAAAAAGAAAAGAAAAAGAAAATCCTTGTAACACATTTACATAGTCAAGCAAAACCAATTCTCATATTATCATTGTCCAGAAATGCATGTCTCATTCTACATTTTGAGCCCATTGCCTCTCTGTCAAGAGGAGCAGCATATTTCACCATGAGTCCTTTTGAAATCCTGGCTGACCAAAGGTGTTTGCTTTACATTGTTGTTTTTATTTTATACATTGTTCTCCTAGCTCTGCTCACTCTGTATCAGTTCATACAAGTCGTATCTACTGAGGAAATTTTCCTGTTTTTAATTTGATGCTAAGTTTAGCAAACAGTCTTGAAAAAACCAGTTTGACTATCCGATGTTTGTTGTTCCAGATTACTTTGACTACCATTGGGTATGGTGATAAGTATCCTCAGACCTGGAATGGACGACTATTGGCTGCTACTTTCACTCTTATTGGAGTCTCCTTCTTTGCTCTCCCTGCTGTGAGTCACTTCCCTTTGCAAGACAGGCATGCACACTGAACTTCTCCCATAGGATGAGCCTCTATAAGAGGCCAGTGGGCATGCCCACCTCCATCATTTCTCTATACCTTCGTGTTGATTGCATGGGAGATACAGGAACTGGTTTCCAGACCTTAGACAACGAAACCAAGAAGTTATAGTACTTCGCGGGGTGAAGCTTGGGTGATTGTGATTTCTATTCCTCTCAGCCACATTTCCCACCATCCTGAGGAGATGCAGAAGAACCCCTTTGATCTACCCCTGAATAGTTACCTGTACTATACTCAGTTTTACAAATTACCTTGACTCAAATAGAGGAAAGGAGGTAGATTCATCAAAGTTAGACTACCCACTTAGGAGAGAGCTCTAGTCTTATGCTACCTGACAAGGTCATAAAGATAGCCTTTGATTCTTAAAGGATATTCCATCAGAGACCAAATCCTGGAAGGTCCTACCAAGCTAGAAAGGCTTTAGTATAGACCTGATTATAAACTATGGGTCTTTAGTTTAAGGATCAGCCTCGTTAAATTTGCAGTGGCTCATTGCTAGATAATTGACCACAATTTGCTGAGTTTAGTGGATAAGGTGCAGAACTTAGAGCCATGAAGACCAGGATTCAAATGTAAATTCCTCCTGTGTGACTCTGGACAAGTCACTTAATCTCTCCGTGACTCAGTGTCCTCATCTGTAAAACAAGGAAGTTGGACTTGGTCTATAAGGTCTTGTCTAGCTCTAACTCTATAATTTTATGAAGACTGTTAGAAACATTCCAGGTAGGGAATGTTTTCTGCCTTGGTGGAGGCAAGACCGATCTTGATGAAATCACAAATCCCTGAAGTAAGTAGCCACTGAACCACATTTCAGCTCTCACTTAATCAGGTTCTCTGTGGAGGTTAGTGATTGCCATCTTTTTTGGGAGGAGAGAAGGGGAACCTGTGGTTTCCTCAGTGTGGGGAAACTTAACGGTGTGGAAACTACCTCCAATGATGCAGAATCAATACAGCCTGGTGAGTTGTCTGTAACTTACAGCCTTAAAGAGTTGCTTGGGAATATTAGAAGACTAAGTAACTTGTGGTCACACAGGTAGTAGGTGTCATTGGAAGGATTTGAACCCAGGTCTTTATGACTCTAAGGACAGCCTCTATCCATTGACTCATGTTTTCTTTTGAATGGGAATGTAGAGAGCTGAAAAGTTAGACTGAATTACTGAGTATCATTTTACAGACCCCAAATTATCAGAATTTTGAAGGCTTTTTGTTGAGCCATCCTTTGATCTAGTAATTTTCTACTGTTTTGGAAGTTCTCTTCTCTCCCGGTCTCTTGCTGTTCCTTTTACAAAATATACTACCAATGGGAATAGCTTTAAAATCCTGGAAGTGATCAAAAGGATTGCCATGCAAGTTCTAAATAGTTTGGCCTCTTCTTTTCACATTTTGTCCTAAGAAGCCATTTTTGGACTCGTAGGAATGAATTATTACATCAAGGAGTTCTGCTGAAGGGGACAAAGGTGGACAGTTGAGGTATTTTGGAGACTGTGTAGGATGCATGTTGAGCTACTAGGAGGACAAAAGGCAGATAGAGAATCCAGACATAAAACTGGAATTATGAAAGAGCTCTCCTAACTTGGCCCATGACAATAAATTTCTGAATTTCAGGGAATTTTAGGTTCAGGGTTTGCTCTGAAGGTCCAAGAACAGCATCGTCAGAAGCACTTTGAGAAGAGACGAAATCCTGCAGCCGGCCTGATCCAGGTAATGCCAGGGTTCCTCTGCAATGCAGACCAGGTGGTTGGTCTGATCCCTATGAAGCTATAAAAGTAGAGTCTTGGTATGAATGAAAGGAGCAAAGAGACATGAGCTCTTTAAGTTGTCAGAAGCCTTAGGATGGAGTCCCTCTGGTAGTAGCATAACAGATGGGTGGTATAGCCCCTGGAGTGCTGGACTTGGAGTTAGGAAGAGTTTCATTCAGATCCTGTCTCTGACACTTATTTACTAGTTGTACGATCCTGGGCAAATCACTTTGTTCTCTCAGCTTTGGTCTCCTCATCTGTAAAATGGGGAATATAGAACCTATCTTACAAGGTTGTTGTGAGGATTAGATAACATATGGAAAACACTTTGCAAGCCTTAAACTGCCATATAAATGCTGGACCTGTAATTTCCTCAATGTAGAGAAGTTCCTGGTGAGTAAACTCCTACCCCTGCAGATTGACACCCTCTTGGCAATTTATTATCTTGGAGAGTTGCCTGAGGTACAGAAGGGTTGAGTGTAAGTGACTTGCCCAGGAAGGCATGGCCAGTCTGTTTCAGAGGTGGGACATAAACTCGATTTTTTCTTGACTCCAGGGCTAGTTTGCTATCCACCACCAAACACTATCTCTCCTCTGTGGTATTATTAATATAAATAATATTAGGTAACTTTATATAACATTTTGAGGTTTGTAAAGTACCACACATTTATGTTATTTCATTTGATTGTCACAACAACTTCATGAGGAAGATGCTATTATTGTCCCCGTTTTATAGATGAGTAAACTGGGGTAAATTGAGAGAGATTAAGTGACTTGTTATGCAGTTAATAAGTACCTAATGTGAGATTTGAACACCAGTCTTCCTGTCTCCAAGTACAGTACTCTATCCACTGTAAAATGCCATTTCCCTTTTTTGGATCAACTCTCTTAAAAGAGAGACATGAGATTTCTTGGGCTAGAACATTGCTCCAAGTTCCCTTAGGGGGAATGGACTTTCCCCACCAGTAGAGTTGGGAATAGGGTGCCTTAAACTGACAAAGAAAATGCATCCAAATGCTGTGATACTTTGAAGTGAAATCAATATCCCCAAGTTTAGAAAGAGTTCATTGAATTATATTGCTTTCATCTGGATTTGAGCCTGGTTCCTAGAGAGAGGAAATGGAAACATGTCATAGTACACAATAGCCTTCTGCTCTTAAAAACTTTTCAAGTTGTATACTTCCTCCTTGGAAGTGAGGCTAAGCCCACCCTGGTCGCTCCCAACTCTCACCTTTCTTTTTCAAGCGTGGTTCTACTACAAAGAACACATGCTAATTTAAGGTGGCCACCCAGCCTCCTCTCAGTACCATAGGGACCTTATGTTGCTCTAGTGTCCTGGGGATAGTAGGATCTGGAACTGTCTGGGAAGAGGTTGAAAGTTCACAAAGGCACCTGATTCAGGGTCATGAATTACTTTTTGATGGTGATGGGTAGGTGCATGAAGGGCTTATTACGAAAATTTTAGACAAAGGTAGGAGAGGATATGTTTTCTTATTTCTAGTCTCTCTCCCATGCGGGGGTTTAGAGTTGTTTTGACATAATTCAAGGTGGGAATAGATTGGACCAAGGGTCTGAGGATGGGAGACCGATGGTATTTTGGAGGAGTGTGTGGAATGTGCTAGACAGCGTAGGGGAATTGGAGCTGCCTGAAAATAAATGTATAAAAATCATCTCGTGAATCCTGGCAGATGCCTTAAGTTGATCCGTGAAAATTCAGGCAGATTTAATTACTGCACAGTGCAAACAAAATCATCAAGTGGGTTGTGTTTTACTTGACTTGGTTTTGTACAAATTAGATGAAGTTTATGTAGAAATTTTGCTGAGACTAGGGATATTGGTAGTATAGACAGATGTCTACCCTAAGGAAGCCTGAAAACTGGAAATGGAAAGGTTGGCACATTATACTTACTACCTTTATTCAGAATGTTTTCCTCTTTCTCTTATAGCAGTAGCTATCATAGATGGGACAAAGTAAAGGAGAGTTTAAGTTGACCCTCATTTCCCCAAACAGTTGGAGGGTGGTTTCTCACTTGAGTGAATTGCATTGAATTGAATTTAATGAGTCTGTCTGCTGAATCCTGTCCTAGGCTTTGGGGTGATAGGTCTAGAGATGAAGGTGAGACATGGTCTCCAGGGGCAGCTAGGTTGTCCAATGGATAGAGCTCCAGCCTTGGAGTCAGGAGGACCTGAGTTCAAATCTGCCCTCAGATACTTGACACTTATTAGCTGTGTGACCCTGGGCAAATCAGTTAACCCCTACTGCCTCACCAAAAAATGCAAAAACAAAACAGAAAAAGACATGGTCTCTGCTCTTGGGGAACTCACAGTCTAACTGGAGAAATAGAACTTCTCTGCACACAAAATGAAGGATGGTATAAGGCACACTATAACCATGGACCAGAATATGGCACACAAGCTAAGTGCTTGGAGAAGGTAGGACTTGAGGTGATCCCTGGATGATGGGTAGGATTTGGATAGGGAGAGAAGGGAGGTGAAGGAGAGAGAGCATTCTAGGTATCTGTAAGGGGAAAGGTTGGGCATAAGCTATTAATCCCAATGTAAAGAAAGGTAAAGAAATCGCTCCTCAGTGCTTTGACATCTTGGAAGGGCACAGGAGAACAGTCCTTTTCAGTCTTCTTACCTCTTACACCTCCTCTCTCCCTCATCCCAATGTGCTCTTGGATACAATAACACCGGCCTTGTTGCTGTTCCTCAAATAAGACACTCCATCGCCCAATTCTGGGCGTTTTCAGTGTCTGTCTCCCATGGGTTGACTGCTCTCCTTCCTCTTCTCTGGTTTCCCTGGCTTCTTTCAAGTGTCTATTAAAACCCCATCTTTTACAGGAAGCCTTTCCTAATCCCCCTTCACTCTAATGCCTTCGGTCTTTGGATTATCTCCAATTTATCCTTTGTATATGTATATAATGCATCATCTACTCCATTAGATTCTGAACTTTTTGAGAGAAGGGACAATCTGTTGCCTTTCTTTGTATCCCTAGCACTTTGCATAGTGCTTGGTACATAGTAGGTGCTTAATAAGTTTTTATTGGCTGAGTGACTGACTGGTGTGGGCAAGACTTTTTTTTTTGAGGCAGTTGGGGTTAAGTGACTTGCCCAGGGTCACACAGCTAGTGTGTGTCTAAAACTGGATTTAAACTCAGGTCCTCCTGATTTCAGGGCCAGTACTCTGTTTACTGTGCCACCTAGCTGCCCCAAGACTTTTTATTAGTATGCTTGCAGTCAATGGAGAAAAGTTGATGCAATTTCTTTTGCTATGTGCAAGGAGCTTGCCCTGGCCAGCACTGGACTTAAAGAAATGAAAATAGCTGATGTTTATAGAAAACTATAAGGCTTATAAAGCATTTGGAATACATTATCTCATTTTATCTTTACAAGATTCTTGTGAGGGAGATTATGCAAGTTGTTATACTGTTTATAATTATACAAATTATGCTATTATTGTATCCATTTTACAGGTGAAGAGCCTAGGACCTTTCTCATTTTTGCACAGTTAATCAGTCGGTTGGTCAACTGACTGATTTTTTAAAGTTTTTAAAGCATTTTTTAAGGCATTTACTATGTGCCAGGCACCGTGCTAAGCTCTGGGAATAAAAAGGACGACAAACACAGTCAAGGAGTTCAAATTTTAATTGGGGGCGGGGAGATAACATGCAAACAACTACATACACAAATGCAAAATGTATAAAGAGTAAATGAGAAGTGATCTTAGAGGGGAAAGCACTGGGAGGAAGGTGAAGAAATAAGGAAAAGCCTTTTGTAGAAGGTAGAATTTGTGATGAGTCTTGAAGGAAGTCAGAAGGCAGAGGTGAGGAGGGAGATCATTCCAGGTATGGGCACAGCCAGTGAAAAGGTGTTGACTGGGGAGTGTTGCTTTTGAGAAAGAAGGCCAATGTTGCTGGGCTGTGGAGTATGGGGACATACTGGGCGCTAGAAGTGGGATTCAAACCTGTGTCTCTTCTCATTTGAGAGCCAGTGCTCTGTGACTCCATGTTGCTTCTCTAAGCAGAGCCAGATGGTATCCCTGGTTCTGCTAACCATGTACCATTGGGCAAGTTCAATCACTTATCTCACACTCTGCTTATCTGTAAAATGAAGGGATTGGACTAGATTGGACTAGTTTTCACATTCTCTGATTTGCAGTCTGTCTGTGACTTAAGATGCTTGGCTTATGACTGTCCTTTCTCTGTGTTCCATTTTCTTGGCCACAGTCTGCTTGGAGATTCTATGCCACTAACCTCTCTCGGACAGACCTCCACTCAACCTGGCAATACTATGAGCGCACCGTCACCGTCCCCATGTACAGGTACCACCATTAAATCCTGTCCTTGTTGCCCTTCTGCCACAGGGAACAAAAGTCCTATGATGCTTTTCACCCCCAGATGATTTGGGGTTATAGTCCTTAGACAGCCTCCTTGTGGTGTTGCATTGTTTTTCAATTCGTCCTTAACTCTGTTATTTTGTTTATGTTTTTATTTTTATTTTCATTAAAAAGCACATATGTTTAAGATTTTCTGTGTAAGTTCCATGGTATTAATTTTGTTCTTTGCTTATATTGTCGCAGTTGTTTTCACCTTTATTTCTCTGCCCCCGTTTTCTTTTGTTGTTGTTTTCTTCACTGTTAGTTGCATTGTGTTGTGGGCTGCTTTGGCAGCATGAGAAGAAAGATCCCCCCCTCTCCCCAGAGAGCTGCCCTGGAATGGAGGTAATGTTCCTCAGCCTAGTCCATGCTGGTGCTGAATTGTGTTCTCTGCCACGTGTGTGAACTGCCCACTCTGGGCCTTTTGCCTCTTGACCCTTTTACCCCTCCCCCATCAAAGGGGCTCTCTCTTTGCCCAATCTGGGGTTGTGGTGGGAGGGCCTCTACAGAGATGGACTGGCTTTAGAAATAGGTTTCTTCGTTTTCTTACAATTCCCTCTCTTGGAGAGGGGGAAACTGCTAGGGTGGCTGGGGTGATCTCCCTTGACTACTGCATACAGGGATCAATGAGACCATCTGGTATCTTGGGTTTGAGCCCATATATGCTTGGAATCTGAAATCTACTCAGAAGGAATTTTATACCAGGATGGGCCCCAGGCCAACATTCTTGAATGGAAAATAGACATAGATACCAGACAGACAGATAGACACAAATACCCCCCCCCTTCCAGAGGAGGATTGTTCAAAAAAGGTAAAAGAAGCTTAACAATACTGAATTTGGAATTATTAGATCCAATAATATTAGCAGTCCACCTAGTGGAACTCCCTGGAAAATTACCAGGACCTATATCTCTCTCTATTCTGGCCCCATTTTGTAACTGGAACAGGCAGCAATGTTAGTCTCAGAGTGGGTTCTGTTTCTTTAGGGGGAGATGATGGTATTCCTTGAGGAATCCAAACAATAGTTCTTAGTACCCATCATTCACCTTCCTGTCCCTAAGCTGGCTTGGAGCAGTGCTCCATTTTGACTGGCTGAAGGGTTGGTATTAGGCACATAATTAGAATTTCTCTGCACCTGAACTCCAAAACAACTGGTGACTAAGTGGCTTAAAATAATCAAATGTATTTCTTGGATTAGCAAGAATTTCTCAAATATCCTGCTGTCTCCCTGGGGCTTATTTCCGTGGCTTTTCACTGCTAGTTGAGCCTTAAAACAGGATGTGTACAAATGTTTGTGGGGATCCCCTGACTTTAGAGATGGGTGGTAAGATTCCTAGAAGCTCAGTTTCTACAAAGTATCCGGGTGGATTTCGAATTATTAGACGCAATGATACTAGCAGGCCACCTAGTTGAGTGCCCTGGAAAGGGATGAAAGAAAGGGGAGAAGGATCTATTAAAAGCAATTTCCACACCTCTTCTGACTTTTTTTTTTGTGGGGTTAGGATTCCAGTGTCTAATATCCTCTGGAGTATAACTCTTCTTTCATAGGGGAACAGGAACTCATCACACACCAAGAACCTGGGCCCTTTGGGCTGCAGTTTACTGCCTCCAGTTGTGTAGGTGCCTGTGTTTACCCCGTGGACTAATTTTCTTTGTTCTGTTCTTTCCCCCTTCCCCACTGTCCCTGACTTTCTTCTTCTTATTCCATTCTCTCTCTTTCTCTTTCCTTCCATTTCTTTCTCTCTCTCTCTGTCTCTCTCTCTCTCTCTCCTCCTTTCTCTCTCCCTTCCTCCTTCCCTTCATTCCTCCCTCCCTTCCTTTCTTCTTCCCTTCTTCCCTGTCGGCCTCCTTTCTCTCTCTCTCTCTCTCTCTCTCTCTCTCTCTCTCTCTCTCTTTCTTTCTCTCTTCCTTCCTTCCTTTTCCTTCCTTCCTTCCTTCCTTCCTTCCTTCCTTGCTTGCTTCCTTCCTTCCTTCCTTCCCTTCCTTTTCCTTCCTTCCTTCCTTTTTCTTCCTTCCTTCCTTCCTTCCTTCCTTCCTTCCTTCCTTCCTTCCTTCCTTCCTTCCTTCCTTTTCCTTCCTTTCCTTCCTTCCTTCCTTCCTTCCTTCCTTCCTTCCTTCCTTCCTTCCTTCCTTTTCCTTCCTTCTTCCTTCCTCCTTCCTTCCTTCCTTCCTTCCTTCTTCCTTCCTTCCTTCCTTCCTTCCTTCCTTCCTTCTTCCTTCCTTCCTTCCTTCCTTCCTTCCTTCTCTTTCTTTCTTTCTTTCTTCTTCTTTCTTTCTTTCTTTCTTCCTTCTTCCTTCTTCCTTCCTTCCTTCTCTCTCTCTCTCTCTCTCTCTCTCTCTCTCTCTCTCTCTCTCTCTCTCTCTCTCTCTCCCTCCCTCCCTCTCCCTCCCTCCCTCCCTCTCTTTCTTTCTTTCTTTCTTTCTTTCTTTCTTTCTTTCTTTCTTTCTTTCTTTCTTTCTTTCTTTCTTTCTTTCTTTCTTCTTTCTTTCTTTCTTTCTTTCTCTGTCTCTTTTGGTGTGAAAACACTTGAAAAAGCTCGCAAACACAAACTTACGGGGCCTCCAGGTATGAAGTGCATGTGAATTTGAAAGCTGTTTGTGGTGTTATTTCTTGTTCTTTGTTTGGGACTATAACAAGTTGAGGCTTTTGAAAAAAAACAACCCAAAACAAACCACTGCAAAAAGGAGAGAGGGCCAATCCCCCACTAACAGCCTGCAGAGCTAATTCCATGCAGCTTCATAAACCCCTCCTTGTGGTTTGGCACAAGTGTTGAGAGAATTCACGGTGGAATGAAGGAAAATGGGGGTAATTGTGGTTTGCTCAGCCTCCATGGTAACAGATACAGATTACACACACCTTAGATTGGATGTGCAAAGAACATCCTCTTCCATACTCTTCACATTTCTTTCTGCTACTTCCTGAACCATTGCTTATTCTCCTTCGATTTATATCCTGTTTCTTAATCTCTCTCTGCTTCTCCTTGTCCTTTTTCTCCTTGACTTACCCTCTCCCATTGCTCTCTTTATTCTCCCTCCTTCTGATATCTATTCCAATCCTATCTTCCTACTTCCGTTTCTCAACCCCTCATTTTTTTGTTAGCTGCTGCCCCTGCTCCTGGTTGTAGACTGCTCCATGGATCAAAGGCCAATTCCTCAGGATTCCTACTTGGAATTATGAAGAAAGTTATAGGGGTCACCTTCCCTCCAAAGCTAAACTACTGTAGCAGAAACTGGAGACACAAAACTGAAATGTTTCCTCATCCCTGCCTCCCCTAGAAATGCATATCAGCACTGAACTTCTGGATAGCCTACTGGTATGGGAGGTGGGAACTAGGTTTATACCTAGCCATAACCGTGGGCAGAGGGAATTCCATCCTCTGATGTACAAAGTTCTCTGCATGCCTAGGAGGATTGGTGGTGTGTGTATAGAGAGCTCCTGGAAAGCCAGGCCTCAGTGCCACCCCTGGCATGTTAGAAATATAGTGACTAAAACAGCAGATAACTTATTACATGGTAGGGCTGCGTTCTAAGGGAACAGAGGCCAAAGGAGCCTAAAGGATTACTTATTTCAGAAAACAGATGCTTGTTCTTGCCATGGAAACCTGGGGCTTGAGGCACCAGAGCCTTTGTATAGAGGTGGAAAAGCTAGGGAAGAGAGATTCATGTTTCTTCTCCCAGAAAGGAACCGGTGTCATTTTAGCCTCACAAGGTGGACAGTTCTCCTGACCAGGAAGATGGGTTTTAGGTTACCTCCTGGTCATCACCTCCTGGTCATCACCTCCTGGTCACATGCCTGACCTGATTTATGGCTTTAGTGACCAGCAAAGCCATAGTCACCACCCCTGCTGGATAATGATGTGGGATGGGAAAGTCTATTGGAAAAACCTGAAATTGTCTCATACTAGCCTAGTTCCCTTTATCAGAATTAAAAGGAAAGCCCAATGTGAACCAGACTTGTCATGATGGGGACACAGATGGAGTTTCCCAGCCCTGGATCTGGGTAATGTTATATGGCACAGCCTATTTACCTTTTTCTGACCAAAAGATAGTTCTCATGCCTGTGAAATTTCAGTCTTGGGCAATAAAGTCTCCTATAAAGCTCTGAAGCTGGTGTGGTATCTGTGTGCTATCCATGTGCTATCTCTAAAACATGAAAGCAGCAGCCCTCTTAGATGCCCCAGATGTGCATTGTGGGAGACCTAACTGGCCTTATCAAATGGAGTCAGCTGCCCCACTGCCCTCTGGACCCTTACCACTTCGTGACCAGTAGCCATTCTCTTTCCTTTGGGTACAATACCCTCAACTCTCCATCCCTGCCCTCCCTGCCCTCCCCAGCTCACTAAATTTCTCATTGCTCTTTCATCCACCGTAAGACATGATCCATTTAGGAAACACTCAGGACTCTCCTGGCAAGTGATGGTGTGTGTGTGTGTGTGTGTGTGTGTGTGTGTGTGTGTGTGTGTGTGTGTTCGCATGTGTGTTGCACATGCTAATGCCCCTCCTCCCTTGATCCTTCTCTTTTGTGATGGTGTTGTAACTGTGTCTCAGGCATGACTTTCCTCTGACCTTGGCTCTGAGGTGCTTATGTATTGTGTTTTCTAACCCAGTGTGTATGTGTGTGTATGTATGTGTATGTTGTGAACATGTGAGTGTGTGGTGGGGCAGGATGGGGGACTGACTTGTCTCTTGCTCCTTTTCCCATCTGTGGTGAATGCTTACAGTTGGTGTTGGAGAACTGGGAAGGAGTGGGATTGGGGGAGACTGGGAGAACAGGCCATGGGTCTGGGCCTGTATAATGAAGATATGGGGAAGGATGAAACAGTGCACCTGAGCTCACCCCTCTTCTGTGGCAGCCACTTGGCTGTGCCCTCAGCATGAGCTGTACCTCTAACTGTGACCAGGCCTTCCTGCTTAGCTATTCTCCTCTAGCTGGAGCTCACCTCCTGCTACAAGGAAGGGTGCCTTTCAGGGAAGAGAGAGAGAAAGTCCAGTTAGCATGTGGGGGCCTAGGCATGGGGCATTAGAGACTTGGGAGTCTCCAGTCTGGGAAAAGGCCAAGCCTGAAATAGAATCAGGGTAAGTGGCTGCTAGCATGGGCCACTTAGTTCCTTAGTCTCTGTGTCTGGGATGGCATGTTCAGAGAATGGCTCAGACAATTTCAATGTGAGCTTCTCAGAGACCTTCTTAGAGAAAGCCTTGACTTAGGGACAGCTCTTGTCACACAGGAGAGGAGAAGGAATTAGGATCCTAAAGACTGCTATGGAGCCTGAGTTTTCACCATTGCTCCCATGATGCTTGCAAAACTGTGTCTGGGAGCCAACAACCTGTGTGCATTATCCTCTGGCTTCAAGGGAGGAGTCTGGCAAATCCAGGATATGATCCCACCTTTTCAGTGAAAGGGCAAGAATCTGAAGGACAGAGTGATATAGTAAAAAAGATACAGGTTTTGGAGTCAAAGGACCTAGGTTCAAATCCTAGCTCTCCCACTTGCTACCTTTGGACCAGTCACTTCAGCTCCCTGCACCTGTTTCCTCATCAATAAAATGAGGGCAGTGGGATAGGATGATGCCTGAGGTCTCTTTAAGTCCTTAATATATGACCTTAAGCTTCTGGGGGTTAGGATAGGTTAGGTTTTTCCTTTTGGGGTTAGGAAGTTAAACTTTTGGCAACCCTCTACTCTACAACTGTCAGATATTGAAGCTGTACATTAGGTAGAGTGTTGGACTTGGAGTCAGAAACCTGAGTTCAAATTCTGACTCAGACACTTATTATTTGTGTGACCCTTTCTGAACCTTAGTTTCTTGCTCTCTAAAATGGGGATAATAATAACACCTACCTCACAGGGTTGTTATAAGAAGGAAATGAGGTGACATCTATAAAGCAAACCTTAACAAAGTGCTATGTAAAATACTAGTTATTATTATCAATGCAAAAATAAAACATGGAGCAGCTGTAGAAAGGGCTACTTTGCCAAACAAATTACCCAGTGATTCCAATTCAAATTGCCTTCTTGGAAGCTAGAACTGTTGTCACTTCTGGCCTAAAATTGAAACTACCAGTGAAATAGGAGGAAGGACAGAGACAACAGGATATTTAATTCTCATCTGCTGCAGCTAGTCCCTGGTGTTTTCTATTTTCTATATTTTCAATGGGGCTGGCAGACTTCCAAAGAGAGACTTTTTTTTTACATTTTTTTTTTCTTTAATGAGACACCTCAGGTCTTCCTTTTGCTGCCTTCAGGATCTTCCCTCTCAGCAGCCAGCTTTTCCAAGACACTTCTGTCCTCCATGGTGTCCTAGACCAACAGAAGCACCCAAATTTAGACAAGCCCCATGTGACTACCCACTTAAGAAAAAGAACTCATCCATGACTCCTGTGTTTCCTTAGACTTCTTAATTATCCTCATTTGCAATGTTGATAGCATCTGTTGCCCCACCCTTTGCATTTCTGCAGCTACTACTACCCTAATTCTGCCTCTTTCCCCTTCATGCCTGGACTATTCCAATAACCTCCTAAATATTTGTTTCCCTACTTGCAATCTTTCCCTCTCCTATCTATTCTAGACATACATAGTCTGAGTACTTTTTTCTAAACACTGATTTTTTTCATGTCACTTCCCTGCTCAAAAACCTTCAATGACTCGCTATGATAAGTCAGAACATTGTAGTGGAAACAACCCAGAAGTGTAAGTCAGGAGATGTAGTTTCCAGTCTTATCTCTTCTGCTAACTAGCTGTGTGGCGGTAGGTAACACAATTTCTTTGGGTCTCAATTTGTTCACCTGTAAAATGATGGTGTTTGACTATGCTAAGGTTTCTTCCAAAGTTTCTAACTTTTAATCCTCTGAAAACAGATTGGTGGGGAGCACAGAAAGGGTATTGCTCCCTAGTAGGTTAGAGCTGGGGCCATAAAAAGGAGGTTTCTCTCTCTCTTCTGCTAATGTCAAGACCATTTTAGGGTGGCTTTTGAGCATTTAAGTCAAACTGCCCATTTTTAAAGCTGATACTAATGGGAGAAGTAGATGAAAGGCTCTTTTTAGAGATACTGGGCTGGTCTGATCAGAAATCTAACTCTTCTCTTCTTTTTTGTACTCCAGACTGATTCCACCTCTCAACCAACTGGAGCTCCTCCGAAACCTCAAGAGCAAATCTGGACTCACTTTCAGGTCAGCAGCCAAGTGGCTAAAGCTCTGGGGAAATGATGAGATCTCTGTTTCTTTGTGCCTGTATCTGTCTCTTTCCCATTGCCCCTCCTGTGTGTGTTCTCTGTGGGTCTTCGTGTATCTGGATTTCCCTTACATGTATTCTTTTATTTGTGATTTTTTCTTTCAGTCTTAACACAATACAACCCCCTCTTCATTTAGCCTTCTCTGATTATCTAAAAAGTAGGACATTTCATTAGCTGTGCAAACGTTGGCAGAGGGTAGGTTAGATAGTTTCTGAGTCCCCTCATCCTAGGATTCTATGATTTGCTTGCTTATAGCATCTGTTCGGAAAATTCTTCCTTTGAGAAATTGGCTTTGAGGAAGTCAGAGGACCAGGGACAATGTTAGAATGTTAGAATGACAGATTTTTTTAACGACATGTTTTGTGGGCTTTTGACTTCCAGCTTTACCAAGCTATAGATGATATCACTGTAGGCAATTTCATCAAGACGTTTAGGTTAGGCTGCTTACTTCTGCTCATTGCTGCAGCTAACTTAAGGTGTTGCCGTAATTGAGGAGTCAGTTCAGTTTAGCTGTGGGGACAAGAAGACAGTAGCTAATGCCAGAGAGCATTAGCGTCTCTCCCACTCTGAGGCTACCTATAGCATAAGTGTGGCTTTGATGATTCATTTCCTGTGTGTTTGTATTCCCTTGCGTTGTGCATTCTTGGGGGGGAAAATTTGTGTATTGAGCTATGGGGCAAGCTGCTTGAGGTCTTGGGCAGGAAGTGCTCCCAAATCTGAGCAATGATAATTCTGTGTGACAAGGTCAATGGCAGTTGTGTCTTTGACGTCACCTTCTGTCCCTTACAGCCCTTCCCCTTTCTCTCAGGTGTGCCTGGGTCTGAGTTCCAGGGAGCCTGTGTGGGACCCCAGCATAAGATGATCAACTCATCTAGACTTTGTCTGGGGGTCTGTGGTTTGGGGTGGGGGTTAAAATGAAGGTGACCTGGATTAGTCCAAGAAGCAGGAGTACTAACCTCCCGTCTCCAGGTTTGTATCTTAGTACTTTCTAGGTTTGGCTGAGGAATGAACTAGTTTGGGGTGCTAGGCAGGATGAGTGGAGAAATCTGGTAATGAATGGGTGATTTCTGAGTTGAATAGCCCTATAACAGCTATTCCTAACATCTCCCTCATGAGCACGTTTGAATTGACTAGGATTGGCAGAGAAAAAACCAAGATCACTCTCTTCCTTTTAAGGTTTATCTTACCCTATGGGAAAATGTGGGAATTGGAGTAAGCAGTACTCCCATCTTCTGGATTTGGATAAGATGATATATGGTTGGCTTTTTAGATAAAGCATCTTTTAAATCTCTTCTTGGGAAGGCAAAGAAAAAGCACTAATCTCAAATGACTCCCTCAGAATGAAATACTAGGGGGGTGGGCCCACATAGTCAGTCTAGAGTTGCCTTCTTCAGGAGGGTTCATTGATTGTTGGGTAGATGCTGCCATTTTTTATACATGAGGAAAAAGTTCTGTGCCCTTTGTAGTGAACACATCTACTAACTCACTGTTGCTTCTGTTTAAAGGAAAGAACCTCAGCCTGAGCCATCACCAAGGTCTGTATATCTCCTGCCTTCCCATGCTCTTTTTGGTATATTGCTCCGTTTGTGTGTGTATTTATATATCTACCTCTAGCCCTCTTTTCCGTCTGTGGTGTCTTCAGCCAAAGGGAGCTGAATACCATGGGCAGAACAAGCTTTGTGTGTGCACTTCTCACTGTGTGGTCTGTGGGTGTCTGTGTGACTGTGCCTGTGTGTCCGTCTGTCTGTATCACATGCACAATGGTGATGTTGGTCCTTAAATCACTTTTCCTTTGTTTCGACTGTTTCTCCTCAATGTATTCTGGAATTATTTTGTGGCTCTGTGGATGGGGGCCTCTGGGGACAGCTAATGGCCGATTGCACACTGTTTTTCAGGGTCACCTCTCCCACCCCCTTGTGGTGAAGAGGCTTCTAGTCTAGCCTGCTACTATACATGACCCTGAGGCAGAGTTTTCCTTTAAGACCTCACCCCATTCCTACTATATATGCATATATATATTAGACCAGAGTGAGATTTCACAGCTAGTCTAGGCCTTGGCCAACTAAAGTCAAGCTAGGGCCTCTTTGATGTTCCAGGCAGTGTCCCTGTCCCTTCTCCTGGCCAGTGGGTAGGTGGGTAATTTGTAGTTTCTGTTCCAGGGGCTGTGAGATATGTTCCCTGGGGAGAAATCTTTGTTCAGAATATTCGGCAGAGGATCTTACAAAAACTCAAGGGTATCTCCACAGCGGACTGGAAAAAAAACTGCCTGCCACTATTTAAAGCATGATGCCAGAATGAGTTTTCCTCATTTTGCCTTTTACCTGTCCAAATCAGGGAGTGACTGATTAAAGGCCCCAGAGACTTTCTTCCTGTGTGATTTATCAACCCTGCCTCCCCATTCCCCACCAAAATCCAGCCATAGGCTGAAAATGTCTATAGAAATTCTGAGCTAAATGTTCTCTCATCTAGGAAGTCCCCTGTTTCTTCTTAAGGACATGGACCCATTTTTTGAGGAACTCTTTAGGTACTGAATTTGGCTGTTTCTCTCTCCTGGCCCCTAGTTTGAAAGAGCTAGTGAAAGGTGGTATACATGACAAGAGGAAAGGAAAATACTATTTTATTTTCTAGGGCTTGAGTTTCCTCATCTACACAATGAAGGGGTCAGACTGGACAATATCTGGCTCCTTCCAGCCATGACATTGTGAAGTTCTGTGGAATTTGGGCTGCTAGAGGCTACATGATCATGGGAGGGTATGAGGCTTGGTGCCCAAGTAGGAAAGCCTTGGCAGGAGACCCATGGCTGAGAGAAGAAAGCAATAACAACATTTCTTTTGTTCCCCTCAGCATGAAAAATGAGGGCAGTTTTCCAAATACTGTAGGGCTGTGCCCTCTCTCAGTTGAGTCTTTTCCCCTTCTATGAGCTTATGTGTGCAGCCATAGCCTCCAAAGTGCTCAGTCCACAAGCTACTAAATAATACCAGTCCCCAAGATCATGTTTTCATAGTTGAGTTGTGCTTCAACAGCAGAGCCAGCTTATCAGACACTCCTGCCTCAGTCAGCTTCTGTAAGGATGTGAGGCTTGGCTGTATAAATGTGACGTCTGATGTTGGCTTTAGGGGCTTAAGAGGAAAGAATTAGGCCCAATTCTCCATGCTAACCTGCTCCCCAGCCATACTTCCTACACAACTGATATTACATTGGGGAAAACAGTTTTTGGCTTTCCCATAAGGAAACAACAGCTATGCCCTGGATTGGGAAGACTAGCAAGCCTTGTGTTTCAGCCCCAGCTGGTATCCACCATGGCCATTGCTGAAATTCTTCTTGTGGTCATTGTGCGATGCCTTTCCTCTTCTGCAGACCCATGGCTGGCTGAGAAAAGAGGAATGACGTTGCTGAACTCTCAGTGATCAAATTTAGCTGAGAATCAACACAAACCTTGCCCTTGGGTGATATCCATTTGTGCTTTCCAGGTTCCTTTTGTGTGGAGTCAGATCTTTCCTTTCATCTAGTTCAACTCTGTTGCCTTAGCACACACTCCCTTCTCCTCTAGTCTCTCCCACCTGACCCCATGGTCTTGTGTTGTAAGAATGATCATGAGGTATCTAAATGACCTTCTCTGGGCCATTCAGGATTGTGTTGCTTGTTAACAGTGACTTGCTATTTTCTTCTCCAAGTAGTTTCTAGACAGTCTCTTTGTTTCCCTCTCCCCACCCCCAATTTGGAATATATCACCTCCCTTCACCCCAAATGCTTCTAATTATTGTCATTGCCCTTTTCTGGGTCTCTCTGACTTCTGCTCTGTCCTCTTTGAGATGAGGTGGCTTTCACTGAAGGCAGGATTAAAGGTGAGGACATACCACTGGCTCCTGTGATGACATTCTGTAATGTGCTCTGTATGATTCTTTCCTTTCCCCTCCCCCTCCTCCTTTTTCCTCATTCCTAGCACAGCCCAGCCTCTTTCCCATGTGTTTTTCCATGAGATGCATCCTCCCTGGCCTCCAGTACTTTGTAAACTCACAACATTGATGCTGGTATATTTCAGGAATTTACCCAAACCTTTCCCTGTAGATTTCCAAACCTGGTCCACTTAGGAGTCCCAAGATTTGTTTGTTTGGTTTTTTTTTTTTTGAGAAAGTACACATAGTTGAGATTGGCCTAAGTCCAGGATAATGGTAGTGGAGAAGTTAGTTTCCCCAGATGAAAGCAAAGAGGTAAGTGGCAATCTGGTTTTTAGGGTGCTGGTGCCCTGAAACCAATGGTGATTTGGTTTTGCCATGTTTGACTGGCACCTCATCCCATATTTAGTGGAAGTCTTATCTTCTGCTTTTCTGAACAATGACAAGAAATAACATTCCCCTGCATGTGTACAATTTTTGTTAATTAGCTGCCTGATGGACAGAAGTTCCTGGTTTCCCTAAATAACAATGACTGGGATTCCGATCTCACGAGTGCTGGTTGTTCACAAAAAGTCAGGTTTGTTGCTAATTGATTGTGAATATCTGGTACTCTTCATAGTGTAATGCTATGGAAACTCTCCTTCATGGTTGCCTTTTTGCTTCCTGGAAATAGGTGACATCCTGTATATCCCTCTTCCAGAACACCACTCAACCCCCAGAACAACCCTCAGTTCCTAGTAGGTGCTCACATAGACGCCATTGTTGTTCTAGACAGGGAAGTGAAATCTGAATGTCTATGATCCTGTAGGTTGGTTCTGATCATCAATTCTCCTTGTTTCCTTTCTTTCTATCAAGAGCTTGGTTTTCCTAGCTCCATGGGGAGCTCGTATTTTTTAGAGGTGCAAGTTAACTATCTGTTTGCTCCCTTCGGGCCGATAGACTTGTGGAGAAAATTCCTGGTAGCTTTCTCTGCCCACTCTAGCCCCTGCCCCATAGCCTAACCTGGGTGAGCGCTAGAATTCTAGCCATCTATGCAGAAGCCACGCTTATATTTCCAAATCCAACTATTCCAGATTGTGGTATAAAATAAGTTGACTGGCCCCTGAAAAGATAGGAGATGTTACACACAAGAAAATCCAACTTGCAGCAGTAAAATTCTATTTCCTGGATACAGATAGGTGGCCTTTTGAACTGTATGATGCTGAGAATATTCACTTGTGATTTTGGCCACTTGAGGTCGTGATGACCCCAGGGCTGTGCTGTGAAATTTATGGTAAATCTACCTTTCTTGTGATCTGGGTTAGGTTGCTAAAAATTCAAACATTAGAAAAGGCTAGTTTTGTGATATCTATAGCCATATTCATAAAACTAAACAGATAAATAGTCCTTCTAGTGTACTGGTCCCAAATCTATTTTAGAGATCCAGTTCCCCTCGTGTCACCGTTGCTATGGCCTGAGGTCTTGGAGGGCCTGCCTGGCTTCTGATGCCCTTCATTAAGAATTGGTGGAATGCTCTGACTCTGTCCTTCATTTTATTTCGTCCCATCTCATTTCCTGCTGACTCATGTATTTGTGCTTGGGACTGGGGAGGTAAAGAATCTCTACCCATGCCCATGTACCTGGGGACTTCACCTCCTTTCTCCTTTCTATGTGCATTTCCCACCCTTCCACAACCCTCTGGCAGCACTGCCCTGAGGAGGTGGAGTCTAGGTGTTTGAGTCATGTTTCTGTACTGTCTGGTCTTGGCAGGGAGTCTGTGTAGACATTACTGTGCCACCCTCATGCAGGCCTCAAGAACCCAAGGGGAGGGGGGCAGGCTATAAGCTGCTCTGGGGCTGTGCAGAGAGCTCCCTTTGGCTGATCTGAACAGGTGACAGATCAGAATGGGGAGGTGGGATGTGAGGGAGGACAGTCTGCCAGCCCAAGTGTGATCCTTCTGCACCTTCTCCATGAGGCAGAGACTTGGCCCTCAGAGTCGTGAATAATATACAAGGATTCACCACGCTGACTTTCTCTCCAACTCACTTTTGTTGTTCTCTGAAAACATCAAGTCTTCAGAACCATTGAAGATAGTTTTTGGGTAAAACATTTGGCTGTAAAACAACAGTACAGGATAAAACAAGAAGCGAGATCTGACTATTATTAGTCAAAGTCTACATGCTGGTTGCTATACTGACTTAGTACCCATTCAAAAGAACCTTTGCCCACCTGGAGCTTATGGCAACTTACGTGGATGCTGTCAACCTGGGCTGATATAGGAGAAACCCTCCCTGCATGGAATTAATTTCCTGTTCTCCAGCAAAGTAAGCTACCCAGGACATCCATGAGACCATGTGATAGATGGAAGGAGCAGATTTTGGGGATCTTAATATTTTTCTGTTAAAGGGATCATATTAACTATTAAGCTTGTACTTTAATTGGATTCCAGGCTGTTAAACATACCCTAATTAAAGTTCAAATGCTGCAGGAAGGGAAATTTTTTTTGTTGTTGTTGTTAGTAATCTGTCTGTTAAAAAACAATTAAACAAAAGAAGTATGGGTTTGGGGTTAAATCTTAACTTTGATGATCTCAGCTTCTGGTGTTGAGATAGGGGCATCTGAAAATGCTGCTAGGAGCGCCTCCATCAGAGTGGAGCATG